CCTCTCTAGGTCGTTCATCATATTTAGAGATACAACGCTGTGATTCCGTCGTTATTGGGGAAATGCAATCAACTAATTTGCGCTTCTGGGCGCTGCGACTCACCGTACGCGGCTTGGCATGCATGGTGCAATCAACTTTTCTCCAGTGCAGTCCGCATCAAAGAAACAACATCGAGACACTGCGATTGTCTTCAATAACGCCCATGGCGACAGCCAGGTTATCGCCGACGGCGAATCTTCTTCGGAAGTCCCGTCTTTTCGCGCTTCCTTCAGCCTTACCGTTGCCCCAGCAAGATGCAACCTCGAAGACCGTTTTCGAATCCGACACCGCAACCCTGCCTCATCCGACCCGAGCATCCATTGTCACCCCGGCTTCGTCGTTAGCGAGAGGAGATTGGGGGTTGAAGCGACCGCTTCCTGCAAAGTCGACATCGGAAAAGTCGTCCCGGCCTGTCGTCCGCCTCAACGTACTCGACACGTTTGAACATGTCACAGACTTCGAATCCGCCGCCGACCACACGGTGACCTTGGAGAAATTCCAAGAGCTTCACATGCCCATGTCCCTTCCTTCCAAGGTCAACTACGCGACTAGCATGGTGCCTAGACACCAAAGCCCTTTCGAATCCGTGGTTGACAATACAGATACGAGCAAAGGCCTTCAGGAACCCGGTGCCAAACAGTTCAGACATTCTGGGCCTTGGCTCGCGGGACAGACGGAGGCCGAGTTCAATGCTTATCTAAATAAAGTGCGCGCGAGGAAGCCTGAGCTACTGCAGAAGCTTCGTGAACACTTCATTGCCAAGCGAACTGCTGAACGCAGAAAGCAAGCCCAGGATAACGGCGAGGATCTAGAAGCGCTTGGTCCGCTCAACGTCACCGAGGAAGAGTTCCAAAGGTACATCAAAACGCTGCGAGCCGATCCCTTTTCTCTTGGCCCCGTCGTCTTCGAACTGTTGGATCTTCCATCGCCCCCCGCCGTCCCTAGCGACCGTATCGGACACAAGTACTACCAATCTCCAGGTACTAAACTCTCCTCTGCGGAGTATGCTGTATCCGGTCCCCCGAAGACACACCCTTCTGCTGGTCTGTCATATACGCGATCTCACGCTTTGATCTACAACCACCCGAAATTCGGTCCCCAGGCACACCTGCGACCTGTGCAGGCCCGTATCCTGCGGCCGAAGGGTCGGTTCAAGGGTAAAACATCTAAGGCTATTGCTGGTGTTGGTGGTATCGCGGTGGAAGATCTCAACGCCATGACTTTCATTGAACAAGGCTCGCCAGCAGGTCTTGCGTACTTCGACGCATCCATCCCCGGTGGTGCGAAGTACTGGGTTACTCCCATCCGTGCTTCGGTTGACTCTGACGGTAGAATCGGCCTCGCGTCATACCGGGCTAGCGCCACTGCTAAGGCGCCTTATGGTATTGAGGAATACCAGAAGCCAACCTTGACAAGTATTTCCCCGGTCACCCGTGGGGAGCAGCGTGTGGTGCCCAGGTTGGACAAATTGGCAAACTTGCCCTATGCTCGGAGGGGACAGGATATGTCTGCATCAGAGCAGCCCGACAAAGGTAGAGAGGACGTTGCACGAAACCTTCTGAGGACCCTCAGTTCTATTTAAGTGTCTGTCACGAGGTCTATACCTGGTGAAACGGAGGGCTGGCTGTACGATTAGATTACTCTTATTTCCTACTGGTCTAGTGATATAAAGTTGGATGCATTATGTAAATTAAATTCTGGAGGCAAAGGAGCATTTCGAATGTCATTCCGAACTCACAAGAGAGAAGTGTGCTCAATGGCACAAGTCTGGCAATCAGCACTTGTCTGCGTACTCCCGTTGATAAGCTGGGGAACAACCTAACTTCATTGGGAAAGGTACACTCCGACGTGTACTTGCGACTACTGTCTTGGCGTTTCAATTAGGGTAAGATTTATCATGTGATTATAATTAGGGTTTCCGCACACCAGGCTCTCCAATATAGCAGGAAAATAGAATGGATTAAGTCTCGTCTTCCGAACATCCATCCCGCCAGCACACAACCGCCAAAATGGGTCGCGTTAGAACCAAGGTAAGTTACAGAGAAAGCACCATGAGTTATCTTCGAGTGAGCGCCAAAAGAGTGTCAATTCTGACGAAACGGGTTTTTCTTCAATAGACAGTCAAGAGGTCCGCCAAGGTCATCATCGAGCGCTACTACCCCAAGTTGACGCTCGACTTCGAGACCAACAAGCGTCTTTGCGATGAGATCGCTATCATTGCCTCCAAGCGTCTTCGCAACAAGGTAGGCAGTCTATGATTGAGCCGTACAGCAGTCGGAATTCGACTTGCTGACGAAAAACCAGATCGCTGGTTACACCACCCACCTTATGAAGCGTATCCAGCGTGGCCCTGTCCGCGGTATCTCTTTCAAGCTGCAGGAGGAGGAGCGTGAGCGCAAGGATCAGTACGTTCCTGAGGTCTCCGCTCTGGATGTTTCCCAGACCGAGTCCGGCCAGCTCGATGTCGATGCCGACACCAAGGACCTCCTCAAGTCCATGGGCGTAAGTTCAGCTTCTCAGCGCGGTTGCTCGTGGTTTCAAAGCGGTCCGTTAACTAATCTTCTCCACTACAGTTCGACAACCTCAAGGTCAACGTTGTCAACGTCTCCCAGCAGCAGGTTCAGGAGCGCCCCCGCCGCTTCCGGTAGATGCGCACACCCTCGATGAAAAAAGTTAATGATTGTCTTCGGTCGATCTATGGCGTGCTCAATTATTCTTGCTCTGGCTGGCTTCGCAGCTATCATGTAGCCTAGAGACACAGGAATGAACATAATCTCGCTGAGAAAGGTGTCGCCGATTCTCCTGGTGGAGATGACGCTTGATTGCCAAAATTTCTCCTTTTGCTTACTATCCGCCTCAGAGCGGACGATGCGTAGAAGGGTCTGTCTGCATGATGTGCACGACGTCATCGGAAAGTCGCAACTTTTTTTTTTTGTGCGAACTGCAGCATCAACTGCACCGCATTGGATCAGATTCGGATTATTCCAGTCTATTTACAACAGTAGTTTGGGGTATCGTCATAAACAAAAAGACGCCGTAGAACCGCAAAGCGAAACATCCCATCGAAAACTGTCGCGACCAGGTCCATGTCAAACCTGACGAGATTGATGCATATCAAGATCACATTTCCTTTGGCACGTAGCCTTCAATGGAGCCTCCTTTGTCATCGCCTGGCCGCATTTGCGGAGGCGTGACCTCGTGGGAAACATCCTCATTCTCTCGAATTGCTATATCCACTCTGCCGGCTCGAAGAGCTGGATTTGCATCTCCACGTTCCATGGCAAGCTCACGAGAGCGAGCGGCATCAAGAAGGGATATGCCAGAGATGACGCTGGCAAGATCATTCGGCCCTTCAGTTCCTCCCATGTGGAGGTCTTCCAATTGACCAGTGACTTCTTTCAAGGTGGCTGAACTGCTCATCTTGCTCTTTCCTTTTCGTGTCCTTGCTCTGTCTTCTTCGAGTAAAACGAGCTCCTTGCTGTGAGTCCCATCCCGGCGCTCCCATGCAGGTTCCTCTGCCAACTGCACCCGTATATACATCGCTCGTTCGGCGCATTCATCCGAACACCACATTTCGAGCTTCTCTTTCGGGACAATGTTCATCTCGCGCCCACGACCCCCGGGACCACTACCCTTAGCGCCCCATGTGATCCTGTACTTGCCTTTAACATCCTCTTTGCGGTGCTCGTGGGGACATAAACCATATCCACAAAGGCCCTCGATGTTCCGTTCAAGAATCAAATTATCGTAGTCGGCAGGCTGGAAGGGAACAAGGGCTGCTTTGAAAGCTCGAGCGTCTTCAGCAGACGGAGCGGCGGGGTCTGCTGACGGCGAAGGAGGAAAATTGACAAGCTCGAGGATGCGGTCTAGGATTAGAGCTTCTGTGTCTTTCTGTGCCTGAATCTGGTGCGCATGGTGCATGGCGATTGCGAGATGTCGTGGATCGACGTTTGGCCTGTTCGTAGGTTGGCCCTTTTGCTGCTCGGGCGCCTTTGACTTAGGTGGCGCACGGCGAGCATTGCTGGGCCTTCGTAGTGCTGCTGGTGAGGAGGCTGCATGTGCAGTTGGAAGAGAAGTTTTGAGAATAGGTTTATTTGCGGACATGATGGCTTTGAATATGGGTGACCTCAGCAGCGACACTATCGTTGTGCTCAGTAGCAGAATAAGAAAAGCAAAAGAAAAAGCAGCTGATACAGTAGTGGTGTTTGTCGGGTCGGCACGAGGCAAACCCCGGATTCGATGAAAGGTTTTAGTGAGCCAGCAGTGGGATGATGCAGTCGAGATTCAATTAAAACAAGGACCAAAGGAAGATACGGTTGGAAATTCAAGTACTTAAAGTAGTAGTGCCTTAAACCAGTGTGTCTTGTTAAAGGATAATCACCATTCTCTAGAAAGTGAATTAGAAGTGAGCATTGTTATTAGGTAGCCGCTGATCGCCCGTGGTGGAGCACCTGTCCCGCCTGACAGTGACGACCACCACTCACTGCTACGAGCCTACTGCCACCTCCATGATTCCCCTCGATGTCTCCTCCTCTTCGTCTTCTCTAAACTACTCGTCCCGTTATTTTTCTACATCCTTGGCATTAAATCAACACAGGCACTTTGTCTCATCTAAGATCAGTGCGCCTTTGTATAGTGAGTGACTTAATTCAGTGATCAGTCTCAGGGTGCATGCTTGCCTTAGGGGCATATACTCTGACGTACATACTGTGGATCGATCAGGCTGACAGATTACTCTTTTGCATCCCAGCATACATTCCTTCATTCGCAAAGTGCATTTCCATATGACCGACTGCATTGAGGTCGTCCAGAAAGGCTTCTCTTGATAACATATAGAGCTCCTTTCTCCGTCCCTCCTTTGTGGACCACCCGCACCGCTTCCACCTTACCATTTCGTGTCAATTAGCCTGATATTTCGACTACCATCACAATTTCTTCGCAACAAAGTTCGCCTTGCCAGATGTCCAGCCCGCCGTTCACGGTCAAATCGGTCTTCGAGTACACTTCGGACCATGATGATGACCTTAATTTCCCAATCGGCCAAATCATAACCGTTACTGCCGTGGAAGATGCGGAGTGGTATTTTGGCGAGTACACTAATGACTCGGGGGTCAAGGTAGAAGGCATCTTCCCGAAGAATTTCGTCGAGAGGTATGAACCACCTGCACCCCCGCGGCCGACACGCCCTAGCAGACCAAAGAAAGAAGCCACTGCTGCCGCTCCGTCCGAACCCGCTGCTGCGGAAACTCATGCAGAACGCCTTCCTTCTCCGGGGCCAGCACCAGAGAGCGCCCCTTCGCTCGAACAGGAGCCCGTGCTCGAAACGCCCAGATCGCCTCCGATTACTGCGCAAGCGCCGGCGCCTGAGGTCTCTTCTCCGCCACAGCCAGTTCAAGCTCAAGCTCCAATTCCGGCACCCCCGCCGGCCGCTCCCTCGGCCTCAAGTGAGCCGAAAGAGCCAGCCACCAAATCGGCATCTAAACCAGCACCTCCCCCGGTTGCAGAGAAACCTAGTGGGTCATCATTTAAGGACCGGATTGCGGCTTTCAACAAACCCGCTGCGCCGCCTATCGCGCCTTACAAGCCAGGAGGCTTCGGCGGCCAGAATCCGACATCGTTCATCAAGAAACCGTTTGTTGCGCCACCCCCAAGTAAGAATTCCTATGTGCCTCCGCCTAGAGAGCCGCCTCCGAAGGTCTATCGGCGGGAAGAGGATACAGAAGTACAGGAGCGTGCTATGCGCGAGCCTCCGGTTTCTGAGAGCAGACCTGCACCCACTGAAGCAACTGAGGAAGGGGTGGAAGGTCAGCCAAAGCCAACCAGCTTAAAGGAGCGAATTGCTCTTTTGCAGAAGCAGCAATTGGAGCAAGCGGCTCGCCATGCTGAAGCAGCTCAGAAGAAGGAGAAGGCTAAGAGGCCCCCAAAGCAGCGTATTGAATCTCACGAGGACCGCACCGCCGTGGAAGAACAGGAGCATGAAAGCTCTGGTGCAGCTCCGTCGGCGAGGGATCACAGTGTCGAGACCGTGAAGCCTGGCCCTCTCCCTGAGGGACAGTTAGGAACGCCCCCGCCTGGACTAGAGCCGGCTAGTGATGCTAACGACGCTGACTATTCCGCCGCCGCTGATACGGAAGATGCGGAAGAGACTTCAACAAGCAAGGAGGACCTAGAAGATCGTTCTGGGACCGAGACTCGTCAAGCACGGGAGCCTGAGAAACAGAGAGAGAGTAGCGACAAGCTTGAACCGGACGAGGGAGATGAGAGTGACGAAGAAGAGGAAGAGGAAGAGATTGACCCCGAAATCAAGCGTAGGATGGAGCTTAGGGAAAGAATGGCGAAGATGAGCGGTGGTATGGGTATGATGGGGTTCTTTGGTCCTCCTGGTGGGATTCCTGTTCCGGCCGCAGGACCTCGCAAGACGGAGAAAAAGTCGGAAGACTCAGATCGGGCTGCTCCAGCAACTGCTCCACCAGTCCCCGTGATGGCACTGCCGGGAATGAACGCCGTTAGGCCAACAGCAGCTCCTCCAAGCGTAGAGAAGGAAGAGAATGTGCCTCAGCCTGCTTCCGTGACCGAACAGCATCCTCCTCAGGAAATTCCTGATGTAGAGGACGTCGTGGAGGAGGATCCTTCTCGTCGCGCTCCTGATGAGAGGCCTGCTGCACCTCAGGGTACGCATCCTTGTTTCTCCTGCCGACAATGATCGCAGTCGTCTTTGGACCATCGCTTACATCTTACAGAGCGTCCAGTACCCCCGCGTCCGCCGAGAGAAACACGGCCAGCCCCGCCTCCAATTCCTCAGGACCGGCCGCTCTCTCCACCGGCTGTTCCAGGTGGTGAGTCTAATGATTATGTCCCCCGATATCTTGAGTTACGCAGCGCTGACACCTAGGAGAATCTCGACCTGTCCCTCCTCCTCCGAAGACTCCCGCTACTGCTGATCTCGGTGAGGAATCGGACGACGAACTTTCTATACGTGCGAAGGATCTCTCTTTGAATGCCGCCGAAGCGGAGGAGGAACGGCCTGCAGCTGCTCAGTCGGTTTCGGCTCCTCCCCTTCCTGACCATCTCGATTCGCGGCGTTCCTCAACCTACGAACCTACTTCTCCAAAGTCTCCTACTCTTCCCTCGGAGAAGAGAATGAGTCGCCCGCCTCCGCCGATCCCAACAAATCCACCGATGTCACCACAGTTCCAGGGCAGGGCTCCTCCCCCGCCACCTCCTGGCAACATCCGCCGTAGATCAACTGTGGATAGCAGAGCAAGCGCAGTCTCGCAACCTCGCCAAGCTGGTGAAGACCTTGAAGGAGAAGTCACCGAGTATGATGGGGACTACGATACGGATATCGCGTCTGGGGCCAAATTCAAAGATGCCTTGAAATCTCATGGCCGCGATTCTAGTGTCGACGAAGGTACTATAACCGATGATCATTCTCTTCAGTCTCCACGAAGCCCTCAAGAGGCCCGCCTTCCTCCTCCGCCACCTCCTTCTGCGCCCAGAGCCGTTCCACCGCCGCCACCCATTCAGCCACCGAAGAGCAGCGGAGGCGCTTCTCTTGAGTCTCCTAGAGGACCTCCGCCGCCGCCTCCTCACAGAGAGCTGTCTTTCGGAGGGGAAGAAGAATATGATCCATATCGCTATTCTGGCCCTCAGCATGGTTTGCCCGCACCGAGAGCGCCACCTGTGCCTCTTGGCCGCCCAGAGTCACCCCCGGTGCCTCCTTCACAGGCTGCTGAACAAGACTCTGACGACATGTACGACGCGTCTCCCTCGGAGACATCAGCGGCTCCGCCGCTGGAAAAGAGAGCGTCTTTTGCGCCTCCTCCCACTCTGCCGCCTAGCGCGCCACCCCCGTCGGCGCCACGAAGTAATCGTGCATCCTTAGACATTCCAAGGGGCCAGCCTAATCTGCGGAGATCTATGGATGTATCTCGTCCGTCCATTGATCAAGGCTTCATTGCTATGGATGTGGATCTGGCGGAAGGCTCTCTCTGGTGGACACAGCCTAATACCCCTCCGCCTGTTTTCCAAAATCGGAAGGATGTTCATTTTGAAGTGGAGGAATCCACGTCCACTAAGCGGGGCGGAAAGACCACGATTTCCAAAGATGTGTATGTCCTATTCATGGACTATTCGCAGACGGTGATCTCAGTGGCATTTGATGCCCGAAATCCTTCGGATGTGTCCTTGGAGCAGCGTCACGAACCTCCGCCGCTGCAGCCGCGCCAGGACCAGCTTGAGAAGGCGCATGCGCAGTTCGGTACACGTATCTCAGATGCTGTGAATGCTATTCAGAATACAACTGTCTCAGATGGTACCCCGTTTGGCTTGGTCCAGCATCTGCTTAGTCCATTGAAAGATGCACTCCTCCCTGTCGGTACACGCGCCTATGGTGCCTTGGTTTATGCAAATTTGGCCAATGCATCTGTGCAACAGAATGACGAGATCCGAGCTGGAGATATCGTCACTTTCCGCAACGCGCGGTTCCAAGGCCACCGAGGCACGATGCACCAGAAATACAATGCTGAAGTCGGTAAACCGGATCATGTCGGTATCGTCGTTGACTGGGATGGTACCAAGAAGAAGATCCGCGCATGGGAACAAGGCAGAGAAAGCAAGAAGGTGAAGGTAGAGAGCTTCAAGCTCAATGATCTGCGAAGTGGGGAATGCAAGGTGTGGCGAGTTATGCCTCGAAGCTGGGTAGGCTGGGAGAGTTGAGAATGCCAGGCCATGGCGCTACGTAAGTTGCAAAAGCACTCTCCCCGAGATTCACGGGCAGCCATCGAAGAGGAAGATTGTATGTGTTACGTGTATGGGAGGAGTTACGATCTCTATCTGTCCTTGCCTTGTCTCCTTCATCCTTTAATATCCCACAGGAGATCTACGAAAGCGCGGGCGGTTGTGCAGATATTTAAGCTTTCAAGTTGATTCGGGTACATGTTTGATTTTCTTTCATGTACATGGATGGCAGGGAGCTGCTTCATTACTTGCCTGCGGTTATCAGGTTTCCTTAACCAACCATTTGATCACCTTCAAGTCATTTATTTTCTGCTTCCATGTATCTACTAATGCTTTGTCTCACTAAACTGGTTATGAAGTGTTTGTGGTGGCAGTCTCTCACTGCATAATTTCTCACTGAATTAACATATCATAGCTTACTTGACATAGTAGTGCATATGTTGTCCGTAGGCCTGTGTTGCTGCAAGGTGTGCTAGTGTTGATGCCTGAAATTAATGGCACCAACAACAGTGGCAACCTGATTTCCGTCGTTTCCTGTTTAGGTTCAGCCCAACTCCGATTTCCTTATCTTCAAGAGCTTCACCAACTCTCGCCCTACTACCATCGCAGCTTGACGGCGTCATCACTGTCAAAATGGGTGGCGATCTGAATTTAAAGAAGTAAGTACCTACATTTTCACAGCCGCAACTGTCTCTTTCTGCATCACTCTTACTTACCAAACACATCAGATCATGGCATCCGTCGCTGCTCCGCAATCAGGAGCGCGTGTGGGCGGAAGAGAAACGAGCCCTAGAGGAACGCAAACGCATCGATCAACTCCGACGTGAACGGGAAGAAGAGCGCCAGATTCAAGAACTACAGCGCTTGCACGAATCTTCGGGGAAAGGTCGCCAGCTGAATCGGGTCGATTGGATGTACCAGGCGCCATCGAGCGCAACAGGTCACTATGCCGAAGAGATGGAGGGATACCTATTGGGCAAGCGCCGTATTGATGGTATTCTACTCAAAAATGATGAGAGCAAAAAGCTGGAGAAGGGAACTGATGTCGTGGCGGCTAATGTCGCCCCGCCACCTGTGAATAACCCCCGTGACACCATGGCGAAGGTCATGGCAGATCCGTTGCTAGAGATCAAGAAACGCGAGCAGGCTGCTTATGAGAATATGGTGAAGGAATCGGTGAGACGGAGTCGGCATAGCGAGCGCGGTGGGGACCGTGACAGGGATAGGGAACGCCGTCGAGACCGTGGTGACCGAGATCGGAGTCGCGATCGGGATCGCAGCCATAGACGCTCGAGACATGGAGATGATGATGCGCATCGCTCTCACCGCCATCGATCACATCGTCATAGGTCTCGGTCTCCCCTGTCGCCAGAGCGCTCTGACAGGAAGCGAGGGGATGATCGAGATTACAGAGATGAGAGAGATAGGCGAGATGATCGCAGAGATGAACGCAGAGACCGTGATTGGAGGGATGATCGTCGGAGTGAGAGAGACCGCAGAGCAGATAAGGACGACGGAGACCGACATTCCAGCAGATACAAGGACCGTGATGACCGATATGACCACTCCACACGGCGAAAATCTTATGAAGATCGTTCGCCATCTCCTCGACGCGGCAATCATTACTCTGATAGACGCCGGACAGAGGACCGGAGCAATGGATATCACAGAGACTCTCGAAACCATGATCGGCCAGAATCATCCTACCGAGGCAGCGACAGGAGAGATAACAAGGAACCCAGAGACTCGAATCCTAGGGAACGGGCCTTGCATACTAGAGATGAACCTGCTGATAACAAAGAAAAGGATCTGGAAGAGGAACGCAAAAGGAAGCTGGCTGAGATGATGTCCAACGCAGACGAGTTGGAACAAAAGCGTCTTCAGCGCATTGCCGAGGTCACAGCTATGGAAAAGAAACAGCGCGAGTCAGACGAAAAGCAGCGGTCTGAACGAGGCCGCTTTGTTGGTCAGCTCCATCGTCAGCTGCAGGAGGATAATCTGGACGATCGGATTCGACGCAGTCGTGGTGGCTTGACAAAGATGGAGGATTAAGGCACGCCATGCCATGTCTTGAGCATTATCATCACTTATGTTCTCCGTTCTCTATTGGTTGTTTTGTATCGGGGGCTTCTCTCTGGCGTTCAATTTCGGCATGGGGGCATGAAAGTAGTTTCAAGCAGTTGTTATACCCTGGACTTCGCAGCAGACCAATAGCTTTGCTTTCATTGCGCACCGACTGAGAAAAAGATAATCCCTTTTGAGACTTGGGCATTGGTTCCTCCTCCACGCCAAAGTTTAGATTCAATATTCTATCGGGTTGAAGTAACACAGCGGAGTAGGTATGAGAATGCCGCGATTGGATTATACAGGTATCACGAATGCCTGCGGACGACAACGCTAGTTTTAAGTATAAAAAAACATTTCCTACAGAAGAATCGAAAAGATATATCCTACATTACAACAATAGCAACTCGCCTGTCGCCGCCCCTCCAGCCAGCTGAGGCTGGTACACCTGCTGTTGGTTCTGGTTGACCACGTACTGAGTCTGAGAGGCTCCACCACCGCCAGCACCGCCATCTTCTCGACCACCGAGGTCGAGTGCCGCCATCTGCTGGCTTCCGACGCTGTTGAAGTACATGTCTGCAGCGCTCACGGCGGCATTCATGCTGCTTCCACCCGTACCAGAACCGTTCGTCGGTGATGTATTGGCAAGAACGCCTGAATCCGCTCCAGTGCCTGCGAGGAATTGCCAAGCACTATTTCCGTTCTCGTCTTGAGGTTTCTGCAGGGCAGGGCTGTACTGCAATCGACGGGTCCGCGCAGAGCGGAAAACTTGCTGGACTGGTTTAAGGTACACAGTTGCCAGCGTGCCGACGTTCAAGCAGAGTTCTTCCAGTGTCCGCGAATCCAGCTTCTCGCTTTCCGCGCTGATGGGGGGTTTCTGGCCCATCACAACCTGCTTCGCGGTAGCCGGGTCGGTCGACAGCAGACGCCAGTACATGTACCCTCTATCCCTGAGATCCGGGTCGTCTGTTTCTTCTGTGCACCATTTTAGGACCTGAGGTACGAGCTGCTGACCCTTGGTAGGGCGTTGGATGAACAGTTTGACGGTGGCCGTCAAGAGGGCGAGTTGCACTTCCACCGTCTCGTCGTGGAAAGTGGCCAGGTAATCCTGGAGCAGTCCGTCCGAGTTCTCAATGCGGTCCGCATATTGCCCGACGATCCAGATGATGGCTGCCTTTGCTTCTGGTTCATCCAGTTCGTCGATATTCTGAATGACGTTGCTGATAATGCTTTCGTACTGGTTGGGATACTTGCGAAAGATATTCCGAATGACAACAGTCGCCTCTTGCACAATATAAGGGATTTTGGCGTTAACCAACTCCAGGAGAGTGTCAATGCATTGCCGTGCCGCAGATTCAATTTTGATGGCCAGTTTTCCGATGGCACGAACGGCTTTTCGCACGAAATGAACATCGATCTCGGTTGCATATCTTTGTATCGAATCAGTCAATGGACATATGGCTGGGAGCATTAGACTCACTCTCGCAACTCTGCTAGCACAATTCCGATATTCTCCTTCGTGGTCAGCATAAATATTAACTCGAGTTTGGTCACTTTGACATAAATCGGGTCATTATAATTGCAGAAAAATACTCGGATGTCGTTCCGTAGAACCTCGGGTCTTTTCTGTAAAATGAGAATGGCATTTCGGAGAGCCAAGTACTGCACTTCTGGAGGTTTCGACAGCAGGGTAACAAGAGGCGGTGACAGCTTCTTCGACAGAGAAGTGATGTGCCTTTCATCGGCTATGTAGTTCATAAGGTAGAGTATGACGCGGATCGACGTGAGGACGACAGAGGAGTTGGAGTGGGAAAGGCGAGGAGCTACACGCTCGGCCAGCAGGAGTGCTTCTGCTGAGTCCTGAGGCACATATGACATCAAAGCATCAAGGATATAAGTTTGCCCCCATCTAGTAAATTGTTAGCAGTGCGGACAAAGCATACGGAGCGATCAAGGGCAGATTGTCTTACTCAGAACAGTCTGGTAGAATAGAAACAAGTTTTGAGGCGCTTGCATAGTCAATCGTCAGGGATATCGATTCACTTCGTCCCCAGATATCTGTCAAAGAAGCAAGAACACTCGACACGACGGTTGGATTCTCATCCTTGAGCATTCGGTTGAGCCGATCGATGAGGTCCGAGCCCTCAACCATTTTCTTATCGTGCTCGTAGAGCTTTGAAACGCAAAAAGCTGCAGTTTTGCGAACATAAGGATCAATGTCCCCCATCAAACGTTTAAGAGGCTGAACGGTTGCTTCGACGAACTCGCGAACGTGCACATATGAGATAGTTCGCAGAGCCAACGCGCGCACGAGCGGGTTCGAGTCGTCCATATCCTGAGTCTCGATGTTAGCTCATGAATAGGAGCGTTTATCAATACACGGTCGTCCATACATCTACCAATATGGGCAGCGCCTTCAACGCGACATCTGGCTTCATCCTTGAGTAATTGACCAGGAAGAGAAAGCACCTATTGTACAGAGTCAGTCGTCTGTTAGTGCCTGCGCTTTGTATCCGTGCTCCTCCCTAGGGACGTACATCTTCTTTATCTCCAGGCTGGGCAAGTTCATACAACCGATCACATCGGGAAATAAGGCGACCATGTCATTGTTGCTCATGGTCATATTGGCAACGATCTTCTTGAGCGCAATTTTCTTCGCCGAGAAATTCTTGTCCTTCTTGCCGCCGCTATTGAGCTCCTGTCGCAGCTCCGCGACTTTGCCCTGTGAAGATTGAGAGAATGGTAAGCCATAGTTGGTCGCATAAGGAAGCACGGTGATGAACATAGGGGGAAATGTGACTTGGAATCATATAAGTAGATAATCGATATGATAGAAGCAATTATACAACGGCAGGTGGTCTTCTGGAAGAATACAAGGGGCAAGAATGCCAGCCAGTTCGTCATTAGACGACGCTCAAAGACAAGACTCGACGTGAGGGGGAGGAGAGGGGAAGATAAGGCAATGCGTCAATGGAGTGCTTGGTCGCACTTCCATTATCTGGATAGGTCCGATGACCACCAAAGCAAGCATATAAACATACCCTAGCGAACAGCTTCGCATCACCCCCGCTGGAACTCATGGTGTGTGGCTTTGCGGACGGGCAAATAGTGTCTCCTTAAGCTCTTTTCAGTCTGCGAACGTTCCCGTGTGAGGATTGGACCCGGCGTCGATCGCGGATTCACATGAATCTTGTCAAGGGCGATTTAGAAAAATAGAGGATCGTTCCAGACGGCCGTGCTATTTCCCTTCAGCTGCTCTGCTCCTTCAACGCCTCCATGCCTTTGGGAATCGTCGTGGTGCTTAAGTCGTTTTCACAAAGTGTCTGTATGGCGGCCGCTCCAGTCGTCACTGAATCAAGTCTGAAGTTTGGCGTGGAATATCGCGCCGTGAAGATATCAAGTAATAGACACAAAGACTCAAAATAAGAAGAAAATGAGATTATAGGTGTCAAATATCATTGTGGTTTAAACGTTCTGGATTCGTCGAATGGTTCAGGGAATCAGGAGTGGATCGGCTGCCGCCAGCTCCGCGTGCTTGTGGGGGGTTTTGACCACCGATTAGATCAACTCCATCCTGATCATCAATCTGCATCATTTGCAATTTTGCTCCAATTCGCCGGTCCCTCACGTTTTGGGCTTCAAAAGAACGGCGCTGACCGTGTCCTTGCGCCAAGTCATCCAGCATGGCATCCAAACCTTTCAATCCTCCACCACCGCCGCAATGGGTGGTCGCGCTGAACACCCCTATGCCGCGTCCTACCAAGGCGGCATCCAGTATCCCTGATCCTCCGGGATTCTCCAGCAGCAAAGTACTAGGCAAGGGCGTAAGTAACTCTCGATGCGTAGAATTACCTGAGAGAGCGCGGCCGTGGTTCATGCTAACTGATTGTGTTGTTACTTAGCGTGCTCAACAGCAATCAACCACCTCCATCACCGCTAAGCCTGACGAAACCGACACTCTGAAGCTGAAAAAAGCATGGGAAATTGCTCTCGCTCCTTCGAAGCAGATCCCCATGAACGCGATCATGATGTACATGTCCGGGAACAGTCTTCAGATCTTCAGTATCATGATGGTCTTCATGTTGTTCAAAGGCCCCATCCAGGGTTTGATGAACACCAATACTGTCTTCACGAAGTTTGACACCGAAGGCATTCGTGGGAAGTTGATCGGAGTGAAGGCTGTTTATGTCCTGATGCAACTGGTTTTGCTGGGTCTGGGAATTTGGAAGGTCAATGCCATGGGACTTTTGCCGTATGTTCTATCACCCTTGTGCTCATCGCGGTTTATCTCTCGCAGATTTACTAATATGAAGTTCCAAAACAGGACTACCAGGTCAGATTGGCTTGCTTGGGAGTCGGAACGACAACCTCTGGAACGAGCTTATTTTGCTTTCGGTTAAAGTGTATATCCACGAAAATCTTCAAAATAGCAAGCAATAAGAAAGCAACCGAAATTGTGTCCTTTTTTTCAATTTTCTACATTGGTTAATAATGTCCCTGATGTTAAACGCTGTATATATCGGTCAAGGTATGTACATCCGTTGGGCCGTAAAAAATATTGTGGCCAGACAGTGTTGCTATGTTACTCTCGAGCACGAAGCGCTTTATCACAGGCAAGATGGAAGATCTGGGCGAATCGCCACACCTCGGCATACGTGTTATACAGAGGTGACGGTGCAACCCGAATGACGTCTGGTTTCCTCTCGTCTATAATTACTGCATTCTCGTCCAACGATGCAAGGACACTGTCGAGAAGGCCTGGTTGGAGACGTATACTCAATTGAGCTCCACGCTCTGCTGGATTTGAGGGAGTGATGATACTGAATGGTCTTTTCTCAGAACTCTCGGTTTGAGGGTCGCACAGAAGAAGGTGTTCCAGGTATCCTGTGAGGTTCAAGGACTTTTTGCGAATTTCAGCCATGGATGTTTGATTAAACAATTCCAATGATGCCACTACTGCATTCATATCCAGAACTGATGGGTTGGAT